TGTCCTTGTCCTTGTCCTTGTCCTTGTCCTTGTCCTTGTCCTTGTCCTTGTCCTTGTCCTTGTCCTTGTCCTTGTCCTTGTCCTTGTCCTTTTCCTTTTCCTTGTCCTTGTCCTTGTCCTTGTCCTTGTCCTTGTCCTTGTCCTTGTCCTTGTGCTTGTCCTTGTCCTTGTCCTTGTCCTTGTCCTTGTCCTTGTCCTTGTCCTTGTCCTTGTCCTTGTCCTTGTCCTTGTCCTTGTCCTTGTCCTTGTCCTTGTCATTGTCCTTGTCCTTGTCCTTGTCCTTGTCCTTGTCCTTGTCCTTGTCCTTGTCCTTGTCCTTGCCCTTGCCCTTGCCCTTGTCCTGGTCCGGATCCTGATCCTGATCCTTATGCTTATGCTTATGCTTATCCTTGTCCTTGTCCTTGTCCTTGTCCTTGTCCTTGTCCTTGTCCTTATCCTTATCCTTATCCTTATCCTTATCCTTATCCTTATCCTTATCCTTATCCTTATCCTTATCCTTATCCTTATCCTTATCCTTATCCTTATCCTTATCCTTATCCTTATCCTTATCCTTATCCTTATCCTTATTCTTATCCTTATCCTTATCCTTATCCTTATCCTTATCCTTATCCTTATCCTTATCCTTATCCTTATCCTTATCCTTATCCTTATCCTTATCCTTATCCTTATCCTTATCCTTATCCTTATCCTTATCCTTATCCTTATCCTTATCCTTATCCTTATCCTTATCCTTATCCTTTATCCTTATCCTTATCCTTATCCTTATCCTTATCCTTATCCTTATCCTTATCCTTATCCTTATCCTTATCCTTATCCTTATCCTTATCCTTATCCTTATCCATGTCCTTGTCCTTGTCCTTATCCTTATCCTTATCCATCCTTATCCTTATCCTTGTCCTAGTCCTTGTCCTTGTCCTTGTCCTTGTCCTTGTCCTTGTCCTTGTCCTGATCCTTATCATCCTTATCATCTTTATCCTTATTCTCCTCCTCCTCCTCCCCCTCCTCCTCCTCCTCCTCCTTCTCCTTCTCCTTCTCCTCCTCCTCCTCCTCCTCTATCTCCTCCTCCCCCTCTCCCTCCCCCCCCGCTGTGTCGGTTGGGTCTGTGGGTACGACGGTCGGGCATTGAGTGAACGCCTGCCAGACAGGTCGACGGAGGAAACATGCAGTGGTTCATTCGACGTCGGCGTTCCAGTGCAGGTTGGTGCAGTCCCCCGTTGGTTTCGCGAATGAGCGTGCGTCTCGCCGGATCGATTCGGTTGTTCTTGGACGTCGATGGACTAGCCCGCTGGGGTGCGCTCCGAATGCGGTGCCGTGCGCGCGTGGAGTGTCCTTAGCATCTTCCACGAAAGGGCGTTTTGCAAAAAGGGCGTCTGTATACCCCTGATATGAGGTGATGGCCGAGCGACGGGACATCAGTTGGGAGGACTCTGCTTGAGCAGCTATCCATGGATCGGGGTGTTGAAACGCGCTCCCTGGTCCAGTCGTGCTGGTCGGCGAGAGTGATTGGGTGGATCGTGGACGCGTCGCGGTTGCCCCCTGGGGGCCGCTTCGAGAGGAGCGGAACACAGACACAGTTTGTTCCATAATTGCGTTTCGCCAGAAGCTTTTCTAATGGCAGTGAAGCACATACCGCACAAGAGTCCCACCGAGGGGACGGGGCGCTGTGGGGGCCCCAGACCGCCCAGTCAGGCAGCCGTTTCGCCTGAGACTTCCTCGCTTCGTTCAGGAATCGTGCCTTCGCTTGAATGCCGGCTACATATTTGGCCTGGACGGCGACGATCTTCTTTGAAAGCATTCCCCCACCAAAGCACCGAATTCGGGTTGCAAATCATGGGAACCTGGTATACCTTCGTAATTCCGTCTCCAGGGTGCAGTCACGTCGATTCGCGTCTGGTAATCGATGAGATAGCGCCGATTTAGCGTCGATTAGCGCCGATTAGCGTCCATTCGCAAGCGCTAATCCGATGCTACGGGAGGCTCCCATGAGCTGCCGCAGAACCCTCATAGCAGCAAAGGTGAAGAGACGGGTCGAGTAGGAGGTCGGCTATACGGAACAGGGGTTGGAGCACGGCCATGTGCACCTCAGTGTGTGTGTGTGTGTGTCTTACATCTGCTCTTTCCACCATCGCAGTCACTCTGCCTAGCCGCCGACGCAAAACACGTGTGTGTGCGCGCGCGCGCGCGCGCGCGTGTGTGTGTGTGTGTGTGTGTGTGTGTGTGTGTGTGTGTGTGTGTGTGTGTGTGTGTGTGTGTGCGTTTTCATCGCGTGGACCGCGCCGTGGTGACGTCTGCCCGCCCTCGCGCTGCACCTGGCCTGTCTGTGGCACCCCACCAATCGGCTGGTCTGGCAGCTCTTACAGTTTATCATCCCTGTCCAACATCGATCGCTCGATGATGCAGTGGCAATTAGCACCAGACTGCTCGCGCTTGCTCCTGTGAAGCTCGCTCTGGCATGCTCCTCGGTTTCTGGCCGCTGCACGGTCGTTGGGCTACAGTCCCTCTTACCCACCACCCACCTTTGCGCGTCGGTGGTCGGCGCCTCTTCCACTGCCCTTTCGATCATGCTCGATCGCAATCAGCACCTCCAGCAGCTGTTCGCGCTCGGGGACCCTCTGCGCCGCTGACCCTCAAAACACGTGTAAGTATGTGTGTGTGTGTGTGTTCTTTCCATAGCTGGAGTGGAGGAAGGAGGCCGGGGGTCGGAGGAGGGAGGCCAGGCGGAGGAGCGCGCAGCCCTTGGGCCCGGGCGCCCGCACCGAGGCGCCCGCCCCGACCCGCCCCCCGCGCGCGCGGGCGGGGCGGGCGGGCGCTCATGGGCGCCTCCGCGTCCGGGGAAGAGCCCAGGCGCGCGGCCGCCCGGCGCCTCCGAGCTGCGAGGGCCGCCGAGGGCCGCCGGGGGGCCCCCGGCAGGGGGGGCCGCTGCGTCCACGTCGGCGCCCGATGGGCGGGGCCCCCGCCGAGGACCGTCGGGGGCCCCCGCCTCAATCTCCGTCGTGGCCGGCGCGATGCGGCATCCGGGCGATGCGATGCGGCCCGCTTCGTTCCCTGGGCTCAGCTGCCTCGATGCGCCTCCTCCTCCTCCTCCAACCTCCTCCTCCTCCTCCTCCTCCCTCCTCCCTCCTCCTCCTCCTCCTCCTCCTCCTCCTCCTCCTCCTTCTCCTCCTCCTCCTCCTGTTCTGATGCGCAACACTTGCGTTGTTCAAACGTCCGTGTTCATCCGTTGCGTGTTGGCTCAGCCTACCGGCCCACGTTTTGGCGAACGCATCGCGTCAGACCGAAGTTTTCAGTTTACCTGTTGAGCTCCGTATCAATACGCTACGTGCTGCGTGTTGTATATCGGGGCAGCTAAGTCTCTGAGGTCTGGGCATCCTATTCTTCTTCGCACCAGGCGCTTTCGCCCCGTTTCGGGCCCCGGCGCCATCACAGATCGATGGAGCTCGGGAGATGCGGCAGAAGGATGGGGTCTAAGGCTCCCGTCGTGGGTTTTGTTCGCAGCGTCGGATCTCAGGGTTGTGCATCTTTGCGCGGCCGATCCGATTTGATTTCGATTCCGCGCCAATGCGGCCCGACTTGACGCACACCTCTCCGAGGTCGCGATCTTTTTTTTGTGACGTCGGCCCCAGGGATCTTGACCCTTTCCCCGGGGCCGGCTTTGCATCCTGAGTATTTTTTTTTGTCGGGCCAGGAAGCTGTTTCCAGAGGCCGAAACCGTCCCAAATTGGTCGTCGCGATTATTTGTTTGCTTCGCCCCGGTCTGAGGGCACGTCCGGATTGGATCTGTCGGCTCGATGCCGAGTCTCACTGCGGATCGATCCGACTCCCCGATCTTCAGGAGCGAAGCATCGGGCGCGAAATCTATACATGTCCACTGCTCTCTGGCCGGGCCCTTCCTGTCTGGGCCCAGGAGCCTATACGCCCTCATGGCCAAGTCAGGAGGGCGTGGCGAACACAGCGGTTCAGGATGGGCCTGGCCAGGGAGCAGTGGACATGTATAGGTTTCGTCGCCCTGATGCAGAGACAGCCACAGCCGCTTGGCTGATGGAACTGCCCCTGGCATCACCCTAATGCCGACCCCAACCTCCCAGCGGTGATGACCTGCGCACTGCGCCTGACTTCGCGTGCCGCGCGCAGGTCATCACCGCTGGTGTGTCGGGGTCGGCCTTGTATTGGGGGGGCGCCAGGTCCTTCGCCTGCTAATGGCGGTCAGCCTTCCGGGGGTCAGGAGAAGGTAAGCTCAGTTCCTTGGATTTTCCTAGCTCGGTGCCGTGCTTTCTCGACAAATCTGTCGTCATCGTGCTGATTGCCTGGGCCTCCCGGCCCGCCTGAGCGCGCGTGCGGACTGCCTCTGCCGCGCTGCGACGTAAGAAAGTGCTTTTGCCTGAGCAGTTCCTCTGGAGATTCGTCGCCTGGGCGGGTAGTCTTCCCAGATCATGCTTTTCTGTGTCCTCAGTTCTCCCTTCGCGGAGTCGAGCACCTAGAATCGGCGTCACCCCAACATATTTATACTATATGTGCGTCGCCCCCCCAGGGGCGACGCGCGCGCCGAGAAATCTTATGGTATATGCGTCGTGGCGGGCGCTTTCTGGCCACACCGCTCGGGAGACGATGCGCTACAAGATGGATATACTATGTCCTCGGGTCGGACGCTCGCCTCCAAGGAGGACGTAAAGTATTAGCATGTCTCTGTGCGTCCCGTAGAAGTCCGACCCCCACTGGCATGGCGAGGGGCCGGGGGCGGGGCCCTCGGCCCCGCGGCTGCGGTCGGCCCCACTCCACCCTCTGAGCTCCGATGCCCTCCCGCCCTGGCCTCGGCGTGCCGCGCGCCGCCGCGCGCAGGTCATCGCCGCTGGCGGCTCTGGGTGGGCCTTGGGGGTGGGGCGCCAGGGGGAGGGGGGGAAGGATGGAGGAGGAGGAGGAGGAGGAGGAGGAGGAGGAGGAGGAGGAGGAGGAGGAGGAGGAGGAGAGGAGGAGGAGGAGGAGGAGGGGAGGGAGGAGGAGGAGCAGGAGGAGGAGGAGGAGGAGGAGGAGGAGGAGAGGAGAGCAGAGAGGGAGGAGCAGGAGCAGGAGGAGGAGGGAGGAGGCGGGAAGGAGGAGGAGGAGGAGGAGGGGAGGAGGAGGAGGAGGCGGAGGCGGAGGCGGAGGCGAGGAGGCGGAGGCGGAGGCGGAGGCGGAGGAGGAGGAGGAGGAGGCGGAGGCGGAGGCGGAGGCGGAGGCGGAGGCGCAGGCGGAGGCGGAGGCGGAGGCGGAGGCGGAGGCGGAGGCGGAGGCGGAGGCGGAGGCGGAGGCGGAGGCGGCGGCTGCGGCGGAGGAGGAGGAGGAGGAGGAGGAGGAGGAGGGAGGAGGGAGGAGGGAGGAGCGGGAGGGGGAGATCTCCTCACCCGCCCTTTGCTGCTACGCCGGGCAGTTCAGGTTCGCCCCCTCCCCGATGGAGCCCGATTCCCTTGGCGCAGCGCTTGCGGCTGTCTCCTCTCCGCCCACTGAGGTCGGATGCCCTCTGGCCCTGACCCTGTGCCCGCGCGCCCGCGGCAGAGGCCGTATGCCGGGTGCACCTCGGACCCCGCCTGGCAGCGCGCGGGGCTCTCAGAGGCCCGCGCGGGTGGCCGTCGTCGGCCGCCGTCGTCGCCGCCGCGGCCCCCGCCAGGCGTCGTCGGGGCTCTCGGGGCCGCCCGCTCTCGGGGCCGTCTCCAGACCTCCTCGAGTCATGAAACCATGTTCGGCCTCTGGGGGCCCTTACTGGGCCTCGGGACCGTCAACATAACCATCCAGGGCGAAAGACGGGCCCCAGGGAACGGGCCGAGACCTGTGGGGGTCGACGTTTTTACGAACAAATCATGGCGTCGGGGGTTCTGCGTGGCGCGCTGGACGTCGCCGCGGCCGCGGTTGCCGCCGCCGCAGGGCAGCGGCGACGGCGGCGGCGGCGCGGACGGCGGCGCCCTCGTCATCGCTTTTGTCGCCGTCCAGGGTCCACTTCGATCCGATGCGGTGTCGACTGCGGCCAGGCCGGCCCGCTTCGATTCTCACATTCCGACGATCCGATGCTGCCCGATGCCTGCAAGGCGCCGCTGTGCATCCTGGCGCGACCGATTCGATTCGATCTCGACTCCGTGCCGTGATGCAGCCCGATCCGATGCGCGCTCTGGGCCGACCCGATGTCCCGATGCGATGCGGAGTGATCCTGCCGTCGCCATCCTATTCGTCGCCCTTGTCGCCGCCGTTGTCGTCTCCGCCGCTACCATCGCTGTCGTCGTCGCCGCCCTCTCTGCCGTCGTCGTCGTCGTCGTCGTCGTCGTCGTCGTCGTCGTCGTCGTCGTCGTCGTCCTCGTCGTCGTCGTCCTCGTCGTCGTCGTCGTCGTCGTCGTCGTCGTCGTCGTCGCCCGTCGTTCGTCGTCCGTCGTCCGTCGTCCGTCGCTCGTCCGTCGTCGTCCGTTGTGGTCCGTCGTCGTCCGTCGGCGTCCGTCGTTGTCGTCGTCGTCGTCGTCGTCGTCGTCGATCGTCGTCGTCGTCGATGTCCTTGTCGTCGATCGTCGTCGTCGTGGGCGCTCGGAGGCGGCGGTGTTCGACGTCTACGAGATCGGGGACATGCTCGGGACCCAGACCCGGGGGCGGTCACAGCAGGGCGAGTCACGGCGGCTAGACCTTCTGCTGTCGACTACGCGCAAGAGTGACTCTAGGCCAGAGTGACCTTTGGTGGGCGGCCTCAGGGGCGCCCGTGGGGGCCCGACGCGACCACGAAAGCTGGGACTGCCGCGCCGCATCAGCGATCGGCGGGGCGCGCCTCGAAAGCTCCCCTCACGCCAGCGGGCAGCCGCGGACTTCCGCCACTCGGACTCGGACGCCCCGAGTGGCACCCCGCAGGCGCTGCGAAAGCAGACGCTGCTGGGAGGCACCGCCACGACGCCTCGCCTTCCCCGGGCCGCGTCGCGATGGCGTCTGGCCGGGCCCGGCGTCGGGGCCAAGGCCGGCTCCCTGCGCGGGCCCGCGACTTCGCGCGAGCAGCTCAAGATCATTTGCAATGCGCGGGCCCCCGACTTCGCGCGAATAACTCAGGATAATCTGCAGTGGTAGTTAAAAAACGCCATTGGTTCGGAAAGATCTTCAACCATACTCAACTCTAGTCAAAGAGACTCAAAGATGTTCAAACATCTTCAAGCTGCACGGGACGGGATTCGGGCTGGGATCCGGGACCGGTCCTGGGCCGGAAAACGCGCCGCCTGGTCGACCAGTCCCCCCCTCGGGAAACGAATGCGCCATTCAGGCTGCGCCTTGTGTGCGTTGCGGTCGATTGCAAGTGGAGGGGCCCAAAGTTTGGATCCACTTGGTTTCTATCGTGGTCACAAACCTGGCTCGCTCAGATGCGAGCGCAACCACGCTACGGGTGCCTGCGCGAGGTCGAGCTCATTCCAAAAGAACAATTACCGGACCCCCTTGGGGTGAGTACCAGAGGGGTTCTCTTGCGAAGGGTCACTCTTACGTGTAGTCGATGTTGCCCGCTTCCCAGACTCCCGAAAAGTAGCGACGGAAGGTTTGACTCCGTTTTCCGCCTCTGGGGGCCCTTACCAGGCCCCGGGACCATCAAGCAACGACTCACGATGAAAGGCCGGCCCTGGGGAATTGGTCGAGACCTGTGGGGGTCGACGCTATGACAAAAATCATGACGTTGGGGGTCTGGGTTCTGGGCCCCTTGGCTGTCGAGCAGCGGCCCGCGGCGAGGAACCGATCCCAGGGATGGGGCGGAGAGCTCCGGGCGCCGGCGTTGCGAGAGAGCCGCGGCGCCGAGTGTCTTCGGCGATCGACGTGCCATCCCATACGCCCTCTGAGGCCATCCTCGGAGGGCACCGACTATACACCAACACCGATCTTGGCCCAGGATCACCCTGGGCCCAGGATCGGTGTATATGCCTTCTTGCGCAGGGCAGGAGGGCGTATGCACCGATCCTGGGCACGGGGTGATCCTGGCCAGGATCGGTGCTGGTGTATAGTTGGTGCCTTCCTACATCCGCTGGGGCGGCAGGTGGGGCAGGGCGCGGATGGCAAGTCCTGCACTCTGGAGGCCGAAGTTCTCGATCATGCCAGCCTCCCTGGCCTTTCGGAGGGCCGTGGTGCAAGCAGGGATGCTTGCGGAAACACTGCCGATCGCCGAGTACCGAACGGGACATGACAAATCTGGCGGCAGAACATTGCAAACCACTAGCAGTGTAGAATACGAAAGGGGGCACCGACTGAGAATACCATATAGAACGATACAGAGTCATGCAGAGTAAGATAACGAGCAGTACATTGCGAAAACCATGTGGGAGACCGAGAGACCATGTGGGATACCATGCGGGAAATCATAGTTATGGGGGACCAGCGGAGACCTTACGGGAGGACGTATAAGATACAGGGGGCCACCTGGGGGACCATACAAGGGGTCAGAAGTATGGCAGACCATGCGAAAGACCATACGGGAGACCATGTGGGACACCAGACTGAATACCATAACTTTCATGGGAGACCAGCGGGAGACTTTGTGGAAGGACATATGAGATACGGGTGGCCGTATGGGAAAACACACAAGCGACCATGAGTATGGCAGACCGTGCGGAAGATCATACGGTAGTCCGTGCGGGATGCCACACGGGAAACCATAATCGTGGTAGATTTGCAGGAGGCTTCACGGGAGGACGTGTAAGATACGGGGGGGTGGGCATCGGTGACACCATATAGGAGACCACGCGGGCGGCCGTGCGGAAGACCATACGGCAGATAATGCGGCGTACCATGTGGGGTATTCTAGCTAGTGAAGCCCAGCGGGGATCTTGTGGAAGCACATCTCGGATACGGGGTGCCAGATGGGAGACCAGACACGAGACAGTAGATACATGGGAGGCCATCGGTCGACTTTACGGGTGGACACATATGATACGGGGTGCCATATGGGAGACACACAAGCGGCCATGCGGGGGACAGTGCGGATGACTATTCGGGAGACCATGCGGGATACCAGACCGAAGACCATAGTTATGGGAGACCCGCGGGATACCGTTTGTGATGACGTAGGATGCGGGGGGAGGGGGAGCATATGTGATACCATACAAGAGTCCTCGCGGGAGACCATGCAAAACACCATGCAAAACACCATGCGGGGATACCAGGCGGGAGACCATACGGGAGACTTGATGGGAGGACTCATAACATACGGGGCCATATGCGAGACCACAAGAGACCATGCGGACGACCACGCGAGAGACCGTGGGTGATACCATGCGGGAGACCGTAAGTTCGGGAGGCCATGCGGGAGGCCTTATGGGAGGACTTGCAGGATACAAGGTGTCAATTTCGAAGCCACACAGAAGGGACCATGTGGGCGACTATGAGGAAGACCATTTGGGAGACCATGCTGCATAACATACGAGAGACCATATGTATGGGAGACCAGCTGGAGACTTTGTGGGAGGACATCTCTGAAATGAGGGGCCTTGTGGGGGGGCATATAGGATACAATGCTGGAGACCAGGTGGAAAACCATATAGACCATGCGGGAGACCATGCGGGATACCATACGAGAGTCTGTAGGTATGGGGGCCACCGGAGACCTGATGGGAGGGCGTATAAGATTCATGGGGGTTATGCGGGAGACCATGCAAACGACCATGCGGGAGACCGTTCGGAAGACCATACGGGAGACTCTGCGGGACAACATGCGGGAGACCAACGGATAGGAGACCAGCGGGGCCCCTTATGCGCGGACGTGAAGGATACGGGGGACATATCGGTGACCGCATGCAAGGGACCATGCGGGAGGCCATGCGCAAGACCATACGGTATGCCACGCGGGACGCCACGCGGGAGGCAATCTTTGCGGGAGGCCAGTCGGAGACTTTATGGGGAGACATATACGGCACGGGGGGGCGTACTTCGGGAGACCGTGCAAGCGGCCCTTCGAGAGGCCCTGTGGAAGACCATGCAGGAGACCAGGCGTGACGTCATGCGGAGAACCAGAAGTATGGAAGCCCAGCGGGAGACAGCATTAGATGACACGGGGCTACGGGGGTTCACACGAGTGGCCATGCAAGAGACCATGTGGGAGACCATGCGGAAGAGCATACGGAAGACCGTGCGGGGATACCATACGGGATATGGACCCTATGTAAGTACATCTAAGCTACGGGGCGCCATTTGGGAGACCATACAACAGACCATGCGGAAGACCATAGGGAAGACCATGCGGAATATCAGATTGGAGATCAATGTTATGGGAGACCAGACAGGGCCCTTGTGGGAGGACGTATAAGGTACGGGGGCCATATGTAATACCATATAAGAGACTGTTGCCGACCATGCGGGCGCCTCCACGGGAGTCCATGCGGGATCTCATACGGGAATCCATAGTTATGGGCGGTCATCGGGTGATTTGATGGGGGGAGGGGGGGGGCATTTAGGAGAAGACCATACAAGAGACCATGCGGGAGACTATGCGAGATCCCGTGCCCGAGACCACATTTTCTATGGGAAGCCAGCGGGGTACCATGCAGGAGGACACATCAGAAATGGGGGGCTTATGGGAGACCGTACATACAAGAGACTATGCTGGAGACCATGCCGACGACCATATTGGAGACCGTGCGGGATACCAGACGGGAGACCATACTTGCTGGAGAGCAGCGGAATACCTTATGGGAGGACACATCTGATATATTTTTTTTTGGGGGGGGGGACGTATGGGAGACCACAAGAGATCATGCGGGGGACCAAGCGGAGGGCCATGCGGGACACCATTCGGGAGACCCTAGATATGGGAGACCAGCGGGAAACCTCACGGGAAGACATCAGAGCTACCGGGGGGCATATTGGAGACCATACCAGGGACCATGCGGAGGACTATGCGGAGTACCGTACGGGACACCATGCGGGGTACCGCACGGAATGCCATACTCATTTGTGGGAGGCCAGCGGGAGACCTTCGGGAATGGCATAAAGGATACGGGGGACATTTGGGGGACCATACAAGAGACCATGCGGAATACCATGCGGAACACCATGCGGGATACCAAATGGGAGACCACGAGTACGGGCGACCAGCGGGAAACCTTACGAGAGGACATCTGAGATCGGGGGGCGGGGAGACCAGAGTTATGGGAGACCAGCGGGAAACCTTATGGGTGGACATTAATTTCTGTTCGCAGTGAGTTGTCCACTCCACTGCTCGCGCAAACATCCCACCCACCCACCCGCAACTTGGTTTGCAAAATCTCTTGAGACCGTGACGGTGGGTACCAAATGGCACTTGGCAACGACAGCGACGCCGACGACGACAGCGACGACGACGACAACGACGACGACGCCGCCGACAACGACTACGACGACACCGACGACGTCTCCAACGACTTCGACGACGCCGACAACGACGACGACGACGCCGACACCGACGACGCCGACGCCGACGACGATGACGACGACGATGACAACGACGACGACGATGACGACGCCGACGACGACGACGACGATGACAACGACGACGACGATGACGACGCCGACGACGACGACAACGACGACAGCGACGACGACGACGACGACGTCAACGACGCCGACGACGACGGCG